GTAAATGAAAATGATAATCCCTCTTAAGTCTGTTGAACAGTGTTCTGTGTCATGGAGATTCTTGAACAGAACCTTAACTGAACAGCTCAATATATGCATCTGCCTTTTCAGTGAACAACCTTTGTTTAGGAAAACCGTTTATCTTTTATGGTGCATCTCAGTAGGAATTCCTGCTGTCACTGAATACAAAAATAAATGCAATTAAATATGTCATGCGCAATGTTCAATGCACAATATTTCAATGGATTGTGCAACACTGTGGATTAAAAAAAAGATAAAACGAGAAAACAGAGTAAATGGTTAGGACTTCATAAAGAGCAAAACATCACACATGAACCCACACAATTGGCTTATGCGAGTTAGCCTTTTTTCTTCTCAGTTTAATGTAATAATAAGTGTGCTGTCTGGTGATGTGAGGAGTATTCTTGATGTAGCCCACCATCCTACACTCTTTGCAGTTGTTTAACCGAAACGGATGAGAAACCTAGCAGTTCTTTTTTGTAGGAAGACGCTGTTAAAATGATGAAGAGGTGTTTCCTTTCATTGCAGGGTCACGGCCCGTTCGTTATTGGAAAGGTTTATCATTAGACCTGTTTGATAGTTTTCTTGTTTAATTATCTCTGCTGCAAGTCTGTGACCTTCTGACTCTAAGAAGATTGTTACTGGGCCTGCAGGGAGAGCAGAACTACAGGATGTTCACGACTGTTGGGTTGTATTCCAGAAGTTGGAGTGCATTTGAAAGATGTTGATACTGATGGTTGAACGTTTGGTATTGGAAGAGAGCTTTACTTAGCAGTTCCTTGTGCCAGTTGGTTTGTTTGTGAACAAAAATGATCATATTTTAGAAGAAAAGTATTGGAAGGGCATTGGTTCGACCCCCTGGACCGACATCATCAGAATGTGGGAGGTAAAGGTGAAGCATTCACATCTTCCTCCACCCTCATTTGCCCCACTCTGGGCCCTTGAGCAAGGCCCTTAACTCCCACCATCTGCTTCCCCGGTTGTCATAGATGGCAGCTCTCTGCTCCGCACAGAGGGCTGTGGTGGCCACAAAGGGCGTCTGGCATAAAAACAATTGCCAAGTCGTCGTGCAAGGTAATTCACAGTGGCAACTCCTGAAGAAGGGAGCAGCCAAAAGAAGAGAAATAAAATGAAATAACATTAATGGTGTTCCAGCATAGGTTTAAATTATTTACATAAGTAAAACAAGCCATATTATTTCTCATGCTATTAATTGCTGCAGCATTTCTTGTCCCCCTTTGTGTAAAACAGTTAATTTGAACTCCCTTTTCTTTATGGCAGCCTTCCTGAATGGTCCAGAGAGATGCTTTGTGTTCTGCGGAAGAGATTTGCCTCTGAACTTTAATCTTAGTCACTTTGTAGACCTTAACATAAATTTAAAAATAAAATACTCCATAGCACATTAGGGGAAGAAAGAAATATCAAAATACTTTCAATAAACATGTTTTTCATAAATTGTTGAAGTGGAGTATCTAAACAAAGATATTTTTTTTGCATTAATTTAACTGCAGTCAGTATTAAAGTATGTAAAACAAGTTCCACACCAGGGATTACAACAATAGTTTGCAGCTACAAAGATAATAGTATTTAAGCTCACATAACTTAATTACTACGTACCGACATCAAAATATGGGTGTGATTGGTGAACCGGCTTTATTAGTTTGTTTTGTTCTCAAAAACAGTTATATCCCTTTTAATCATAAGTTATATTTAAAATATCTGTCTTTGCATTAAAAGTTAATTTCCTTTAGAATGTGAACAATAAAGCTCAGAAGTGAGTCTTGTTTTTCGTAAAATAAGATGTTACAGAGGATAGTGAAATAAATGGCAAATCTAAAATACTACAAATTTATTTTTAAATATAGCATCACAGGGAGTCTCATTGATAAAGCCAAAAGTGACAAATAACCCTGATTTTTATGACATTTTGGAATTGGGATAGTCAAAATTACAGTGAAACTGCCATTTTATACACTAAAACAGTAGAAGTCACATCAGTTTATAAAGTTGCATATGTGAATCAATACAAGTTGGTTTGGAAGTCCACAGGAAGTACTTTATAGTTTATTGATGTCAACAAAAACATCTATATCATAACAAACAGAAAAAGTCACTATCACTACGTACTGAGCTAAAAAACATTTTAATTGTAGTTATTTGTTCTGGGATGTTTCTGTAAAACAGGAAAACACAGTGGAAGTAAGAAGATGATTCATAAGAGTTCAGTTGTTTTTCTCTGAGACTAATCTACTTTGTAGTAACTGGCTTAGTGAATTTGTTTCATAAAAATATTCATGTTCACAGCACATCTTCCAAATAAACGAAATATGAATTCTTGGGTTTCCAGATGTTAACACAAGCAATGATTTATTAAGAATTGTAACATATTAATAGGTCCCAGACCAGCTCTTGTTGCACCCCCGCCTTTCCTCTAACAGTGCCTCGTTAGGTCATGATGTCTTGTAGCCATATTAAGATATATTAGACATATCTGCAAATGATAAAACTTGTGAGCGGCAGATCTTGACAAAGTAATTAAGACTCATAAACACTAAATCCCACGCATGAAAACCTCCAATAGAACAAAAAATATATTTGCTGCAATACAGAGATTAACGCGTTATAGCAGTTTGTCTCGTTCACTCTGCTTCTGTACACAGTTGTTTTCTTACATCATCTGTTCTTAGTTGTTTATGGTTGCAAGCGTTTTGTGGAGATGATGTCATAAACCTGACTCATATACTGCTCAGCAAGGCCTGAGGACTATTTATCAGCTTTGAGCACGTCTTGTAAATCAAAAGATTATCTGGACTTTCTGTCATGTTTGCCCTGTAACTCGTGTCAGGGTTTAAGAAATATAAACAAACCACGCAACATGTGTAAACTATAAAGTTACATTTGAATAGGTCTTAATTATCATGTTAGGAAACAGTATAAAAGGAAATACAGCATTAACTATAAACACACTTCAGTTAAATAACAAAGAGTTTTAGATTAGAAGGTAAAAAATAAATGAGACATTTTGAGTCTATTCTCCTGCACAAAATGTAACTGCTGATTAAAGCCAGTCAAAAGTAATGTGTCCTTGATTCGTTAACTATGGTTCCATTAATATATTATCAGTAGCTGTCATTCTGCCTTTTAAAATTTTCATAATAACCCTTTTTACTTGCTGTTATTTCCTCAACATTCTTCAAGGATCAAGCCACAGCATTGCATTTACTGTGACTAAATGTGTATGAGCAAAAGGTATTATTAATGTCAGTAACCTCCTAATAACTGATCACTTGTATATTTTCATGAATGAACAATTAAATCACTCACACTGATAATTCACAAAGAAACTGTAAATTCATACTAACGATGCATGCTGCTAGTCTAGACTTTGTTGTGCCACTGAAAGCACAAATACATTTTCTCCAGTGTATGCAAACCTCTTTTTTTATCTAAATGCTCAGAATGAATGAAGTTGCTAAACTGTAACAATATTTAATTGGTGTTGCTGGATCTGAACTTCTTTTTAGTAGTGTCAGTCCCACCTATATGTAAAGAGCATATTTGAGAATGCATGTTGACGTAGAAAACGATGCTCATTGTATGTAATTACTGGCGGAAATGTGCATTTCTGGATTTTCCGTGTGGCTTTTTTGCCTGGAGGCTTTTTATATGATGTGGTCCCATTAAATCAGCACTAGAAAAGAAGGCACAGACATCAATGATAGGAGCACAAAGAAACTTGAAGCGATTAAACCCCTACTCTAACCGGCTTAGTAGGAAAAGCTTCACATAGAGCCAACAATAGCTGTATTCCTTTAAATCTGGTCTGTTTGCGCGCTCTCTTTTCCACAGTCTATCCTGCACTCAATTCTCCTTTTCCTGTTCTCTCCCTCTCTCTAAACAGATTACGTCTTTTTTGGTTTCTTTATGTCTGTCTTCTTTGCAGCATGTTAGGCCGCTTAACTTTACAATGCTTTTGTCAGGTCAAAACCCACCCTCCCTAGATTTTTCCAATTTAGGTAAAAAAAAAAAAGCCTCTTTTGTGAAAGAATTTACTGTATCTCATATGTCAACCACCTTGAAAGTCTTTCTTTTGAATCATTCATTATGACCTCTTTCATTATTTTACTATTATTTTCTCTAAAGACGTTTCAGGGGCTCACTGTGAATTGGCCAGATTGTTAATTGCACTACACGTTTCTCTTTTTAATCAGTAGGGGATTAAACTTGACTACGTTTATACAGGGATTAGACACGAACAAGAATGTGTTGTGTGCAAAGAAAATAGTTGAACTTGTACCAGCTGGTTTCTCACAAGATAAACGGTTAAAAACGTAAAACGTATAAAGAGACTTCTATCATAATATTCCTTGTGAAAACTGTCAACAACAAAAGTTTTTGGCAAGAATGAATGAAAGATGTGTCGTTCTGTAGAATGGCCCAGCCGTGTAACCAGGGATAGAATTTTGGAACAAGAGAAAGTAAATTCCTCCTTGAGCACAATGCCTCAGGCCCTTCTACTCCTCAAACCACTGTAACAGACTGGTTTAGACCTCCTGGTCTGTGGTCTGGTTTTAAGAGAGGCAGTAATTTATCCTACCTCCCACCACCATCCACCTTTCCACCTGGATTTGGCATTGCCCATGAATGCCAGTCATTAAGATGTCTGCACAAAGCCTATGACTACCTCTTTCCCAATGGGCTGGCTCTACTTCCACGTATAGAGCCGCCTTTGTTTTATATGCAACTGCTCCCACCATTGTAGTGAACGGGCTTTCATTGTGTCTGGTTTGTTGCCAGAGAGAGGAAATATGATAAATGTTTCTAATGCCACCTGTTTGAGAAGGCTGGGACATTCCTCGTTCCCCAGATGCCAACAGGTAGAAAAGACGTAGCCCTGATCAGGTTACTGTGTGCATCTTTATGTGTGTATTTGTCAACTGTGAATAAAATCCCTTCTTTTTTTTTCCGTCTTCTTTCAGGTGCACCAGAAAGGAGAAATGTGAGCGCTCATCAGAACCCCGGCGCTTTGCTTCAGACATCAAGCAGTGTGTGCGTCTCAGTGTCCACCCGAACAACATATCGGTTTCCCAGTTTAGCGTCACGGTGAGTGGATAAAAATAAATGCGTCCGTTATTTCCACTGAAGGAGAAACCACTGACGAATGTTCCATGGCATAAATATGTATGCTTTATTTGTAAAACATAGGGGACAGACTTTTCTTTTAAAGATTTTAAACAAACACTGCTAACTGTTAATTAAGCGTGTTGTGTGGCACCAAAAACATTTATAGCAAGTGAATATATTGCATTGGTTAGAAAAACACATCAAGCACGCAACCAAACGTTTCTTTCAGTTGCGCCACATTTTAGTAAATTTTGATAGTAGCTGAATATGCTACAAGTGAGAAAATCTCGTCTGGCAGATTGACAGTATCACTCTCAAGCATAATTTGTAATACAATGTAATTAAGCTCTAAGTACTATTGAGTAGATGTGTTAAATTTCTGGTGCCTCATATCGTCTTAGCGCCTGCCAATGCCCATCATTCATCTCCTGACCTCACAACTTTTAGTTCTAACTCATGAAAATTCTCTCCAAACAAATGTCAACAATCATTAACAGCATGCAGTTCAGCTCAGCTATGTTTTTATGAGTCTTGGCAGCTAAATAAAAGCTCTTTCACCCTGTGGGCATTTTACTCTGAAACAGCTGCCAACAGTTGAGTTTTATTTTTTTTATTTATTTAGTTTTGCTGTGTATGTGTATTGATTAGTACACAAGGAGCTGCGACCCCTTGTAACAAATATGACTCTGCAGGAATTAAAACATTGTTTCATAGCTTATATATAAATGTTAAATCCAGCCATATACACATTGCTAGGACCAAATTTTATTCTGCATACGTGAAACCATTTCTAATTTAATGTTTATATTTTTACATACTTTGGACAGCTTGTTGTTTGAATAGTTGCTGTTGAGGGAAATATGTCCCTTTCACCCTGCTTTATAGTTTAATGCAAATTTTTAACCAAATATATGGCTGTAAAAGTTTGTAAGTAGCTTAAATTTGTTGCACATTTGCATTAGCTGAATACATGACCTTGTGTTTATTTCAATGCATTCTCTTTTTATGGGATTGAAAATAATCAAGTAAAAAAGATGAAGACCTGTTTTAAACGCAACAACGAATGATGTGAAAATCACTGATTTTAACCAACAGCAAGTCGCATCACCTGTCAGTTCGCTTGGGATTGATCTTTTAGGGATCATTTTGAATTTTATAGATGCAGAATAATTTTTATAATTATCCCAAGCCAAACCAGAATGACTCACTCCATCTGTGTTTCTCAGAGGGCCAAACTTGAACAGATAATTGTCAGCCATACAGCTCAGCATCGCCTAATGATATTCATAGGTGTTTGTGTGTAACGTTGCTGAGTGTTTAACCTTTTTGCACGCACTTGGCATCCAGCTGAATGCTGGGAAGAGTCCACTTCTTGACCTTTATCTTAATAAATATTTATTTGGACAGATATAGCTGAGGAATACTTCAAAAGACCATCACTCCCATTTTGAAAGAAATAAAAAAAACATCCTCTTTATAAAATAAATAAAAGTAAGACATAAAGAAAGCGAGAACTGGAGTAAGTTAAAGCACTCATGGTCAATTTTATGAGAGATGTTGTGCAGGTGTTCTGCTGCTGCTTTCTTTTTGTTGAACAGTAATATAATAGTGCAGGTCAGCCCTTCTGTGCTGCCGAGGCCATATTCAGCTTCTCATCACAAGTATATGACTAGCTACATCTCAAAACAGTGTTTAGACCATTGCCTTTCTTCAGACAGTGTTTTCCATCAATATGTATATTTTGGTCTTGACCCTGCTCCACCTTCTTCCATAATCACCTCTTCTTTTATTCAAGGACAGTTTTCTTTCTTGCCTTTTACTCCACCTGAGGCCATTCTTCCCAAGAAGTTGAAAGAGCTAACACAGCATTTTCAAATGAAGAAAAAAGATTGTTTTTTTTTTATTTTGTGAAGAGTGTGCTATTCTTTGACAGTCCAGTATCTATGCATTCCTGCTGTCCTTAATTTCAAGTTCAAAGATCACGTTCAATGTTCGTTATTGTCAGTCGCATCACATGTGGTACATGAGGTGGAACGAAATTGTGTACGCAGGGTTTCATTCAACAATAGCAAAATTGTAAATTATAAAAGAGACATTAGTAAGGATCTAAGATATAAACTAAGAATTACACTAAACTAAGAAATATGGTAAACGCTAATATAGTAGTCCCTCGTTTATTGCAGGGGATTTGTACCTTGAAGCCCTGTGATAAGTGGAAAACCATGAAGTAGGAATAGTAGTACAAATAGTAAGTAGTTGTATGTATATATATATATATATATATATATATATATATGTATATAAAGGTGTTTTAAACCCTTCTCACAGTCTTGCAATATTCTAATCAATGTTTCTAATAAACGCTCTAAAAGGGCACCCAGTGTCATGATTTCAGCTCTGTGCCTCCGTTGCTCTTTGCCACTGGCAAGCGCTCTCAGCCACACCCACTTCTCCGCTCTGCACAGAGAACAGCTGATCAGCTGCAGGAGGAAGCTTTTTCTGCATATGTGAGCTGCACAAAGGTGCGGCAGGTGCTAAATAATTTAAAATTATTTTAAATAAAAATGCTATGCCGATTGTGCGGCTCATCCATCAATCAGCCAATTATGTGTCATGTCCAATCTTATTTTGAAAAACTGCGATAGAGCGAGTCCGCAAACAAACGAACCGCTAAGTAGCGAGGGACTACTGTAGTGCCAAACAATACGCTGAACAACAGCAGCACAAGCGTGAGTCTGCGTGAGTAGATGTGTACGAATGAATACAGCAGCATAAAATAAATCAGCAGCATGAGATCAGCAGCATGGATAATCAGCAGCACATATCACCAATTCAAGTGACATTATATTGATTTTTTTTCTTACAGTGATAATCCTGGTTAGGGATTCCTGAGTCTAACAACTTCAGGGACGAAGCTGTTCATCAGTCTAGTGGGCCTACACTTAATGTTCCACAGTTTTTTGCCTGAGGGGAGCAGGGTAAAAGTGTGTGTGCTGGGTGAGTGAGGTCCTTCATGATGCAGGTGGCCCTCTTCCTGCATCTGGAGGTGTAGATGTATGTGATGGTGGGGAAGCTGACTCCAACAGACTTCTTTGCAGCCTTCACCACTCTCTGCAGAGCTTTTCTTTCTGCAGCTGTGCAGCCTCCATGCCACACATTGATGCTGGAGCACAGGATGCTCTCCACTGCACACCTGTAGAAGGAGGTGAGGACTGAGCTTCTCAGTCCAGCTTGCCTCAGCCGCCTGAGGAAGTAGAGTCTCTGATGTGCTTTCTTGATCAGGCTGGTGGTGGTGTTAATTGTTCACTGTTTTGTTTTTGTTTTTTAGTAGTCTATATTCATTCAACTTTCTCTATTTTCCCCGCCCTGAAGCAAAGGGGGAATATGAAATAGCCTCCTTCTATTTGTCCATGTTGTAAGCATAACTTGGAAAACTTAAGTGGCATTTTGGTGTGTCGCTACAAAAAGTTCCTTTCGAAAATTGGGTTGCCATGTCAAAATCAAAGATGGCTACCATTATATATTTATACATGTAAACTTTGTGAGTTGGATAATTAAAAAAAAGCAATGCACCAACTTCCAGTTTGTTGTGTGACTGCATGTAGGTGCAAGTAAGGTCTGTATGACCCCCTGGCTCTGCCATTGTGCCTGGTGGTGGATAAAATTGCTCCCTCCTTTCACCAGGATCTTTCACTCTGCGCAACCTCAGACAAGCAAAATACATAAGTAAATAAATTTTTCTTTTTTATACAAAGTGGAATTTGTACCTACTTCATTATCTTCCAACAAATACATGAAGGCTTACTTGTATTCTCTGTTCAATTCCAGTCCAGAAAAACATTCATCCACAAAACTACAAACATTCACGATTCAAATCCTTCAGCGACAGACATTGGTGTACTGTTGCTATCTCTTACTTTGAATTTTGTCCTTGAAATATTTATGTATTTTCTATCTCAGGCATCTTTTTTCTCCTCATATTGGCAGAAACTGAAAACGCTGAGAAGTAAATTACAGGAGGTAGTCATGGCCATTGTATGACTTTCAGTTTTAAACCGGTCTTTGTACCTTTTTTTGTTGTTGTTGTTTTTGCAGTAGTAGCTTCACATTTTTGGGATATTTGAGTACAATGTCCATCTAATGGCTCATTCAGACATTCCAGAGTAACTAATCTTCAGATGACTATTTACTCTGCTTTGAACCTGCAGCTGTCCCTCTGGAGAATTGTGTTACAGACATTTTTAGAAACGTATTGATTCGAATTGATACGACGTGCTCACCATGTAACAACTGAAGTGCAAATCTTGCTGATATCTCAGTGTGGTTTAACATTTTATATGTCAGACTTCATCTTTAGTTTTTCTAATGGTATTATAAGTAATTACTGCATTAAGTCTGTTAAATGATTCTTCTCTTTTATCCCATATATAATTTACACCAATTGATTCATGAACTAATCATGCACAGACCAATTATCCCTCACACATCTTCCTTCTTTTTTCTATTTTCATCAGTTGGTGCTGGAAGCCCACAACGTCCCAGAACTTTCAGCAGGTGTCAACTGCACCTTTGAGGATCTGGCTGAGATGCATGGCCTGGTGGAGGGAAACCGGATCAGATGCTCCTCTCCTGCTGAGAAGGAAATGCCACGCATTATTGTAGACAAAGGTGAGAAGTCACAAAGCAACCAACCAGCATGAAGACGATACTATTCCATACAAGTCCCAATGCTTAGACTTTTTTCTTTGTATGCATAATGAATACGTAAATTATAAAAAGAGATGGAAAATATTTTTGTAGCAATGAGTTCCCAAAGTTGGATATGTTTTTGTTTCATAAGGTCAAAACTTTAAGAAATTGTCCATCTGTTGCTATGATGGCATAGTCATGTACAAGGACTTGACAGAAAATAAATTATACATATGTAATGTTTGTCTAAACCATCATAGGTACTTCAAAGATGACAATTATCTGAATTTTTAGAACCATAATATAAAGAAATGTGGTTTAAACATTTTTAAAGGGCTGTAACTACAATAAAGCTATTTATATAATATAATCTGCAGCAGTACACAAGTATGCTCGTCTGTCACTAATGTATACAGTCATTCTGAAGTTTTCTCTTGACAGTCCTGGGGCAATATGTTCTCTGTGAAGTATTTTTTCCTCACTGTCATCAGCAGCTCAACAGGCCTCGGAGCAATGCCTCAGGACATATTTAGTAACTAAATGAGCTTTAGTTATTAGTCTGCTGTGGAACTTATTTACCTTCTTCACGTGGGTGAGCTCCAGAGGGAGTGATGGAATCTTGGTTACCCACAGAAATGTGTCAGGCTTTACCGCTGAATGACTTCATTATGGTATTTCATCTAACATGTCGCTTAGTGGTTAAGTTTCCACAGATGCTAACAGTTAAAGCAGTTCTGACGACATTCATTAATATCCTCACTCTGGAGCTGGCTAAGCTGGTCTAATTGAACAAAATTCTCATTTCACAATTGCTATGCACAGACCTTTAAGTGCTTTGTGTCGGCATATAAGAACAAGACAATACTGCAGGACTTTAAAAAGAAATGACTAAAATTGAGAGTAACACGTTCTGTTTCAATACAGCTGATGAGAATACTAAATGAGCTTTGGGGAATTGTATATACAGTAGTCTGTCGTTTATCGCGGGGGATCCGTACTCTGGAGACCCGGGATAATGGGGACTGAATGTCATGATTTCAGCTCCTTGCTTCCTCTGCTCTTTGCCACCTGCAAGCGCTCTTGTCCACGCCCACTTCTCCGCTCTGCACGGTGAACAGCTGATCAGCTGCAGCTGGAAGTTTATCCTGCAGTTAGGGTTGCACAATGGTGCAGCTGGTGCTAAATATTTTAATATCATTTATTTTAAGTAAAAATTTCATGCCAATCTTTCAGCTCGTCCATCAATCAGCCATTGTGTGTCATATGCAATCTTATTTTGAAAAATCGCGATAGAGCGAGTCCTTGAAAAACGAACCGCGAAGTAGCGAGGGACTACTGTATTTGTTTATTGTTTGTAAAGTCAGTCTGGTAATGATGTCGTCATACAAACAAAAATGTATACTACAAATATGAAGCTTTGTTGCCTAGACTTGCAAGCATTTATAGTTTTCCTGATTTAGGTAAATGTATTGTGTTGAACGCTTTCATGTTCCATTTTTAGCATTACTCATTATTCCAAACTTGGTTCCTGGAGAGAAATGGGGCTCACAGCAGATGGAGTGAGGAGAGAGGGAGGGATGGATGGTGTTAGCGGGCTTCAAGGTAACATTTAAGTGGCCTAATTAGGACAGATCCGTTGTCAGCAGTGCTTTACTCTGATTGATGAATGATTCCTTCTTTGTTAGAAAGATGGAGAGAGACAGGGGAGAAGGAGTCACAGTGTGGAAAGGAGAGAGACCTGTGAGTAAAGATAGTGGCAATGAGAGGGGGAGGTATAGAGGTAGTGTAGAAAAAGAGCAGGTAGATATGTTGGATGTGTTGCTGAATTAAACATGAACTCCTTCATTAGAGCTAGACAAAAGCACAGCAAATACAGATGAGGCGTGAGCTCATATGCACATACACTTATGTAAACACACACACATTTCGTATTTCATGTTCTTTTAACTTGTCAAACATACTTTCAAAGACATTTCACTGGGAGTATTGTCCATCCCAAGGGAAATTTGTGTGCAGCAACTTTGCTGCTTGCTGCATGAATAAAGAGATTTAACCCAACTAAAGCCTTCTGAAATGCTCTCCTTTAAAGATATTGCCTTTAGGAATGCAACAAGAGGTTCACCTGTTGCTTCACTTTGTTTTATTATTATTATTGGAAAATCTATAATTGGATGCTTTTAGGAGATTTAAGCAAGTAAATGGAATTATCCACATAAAGGCTTAAAATTGTGTTCAGAACACTAATCGCTTAAGGAATGTGTTTTATGAAAAAGGTGTTTTTGTTTGTTAATGTGTCTGAAGTATTGATTTTTGATTGTGATCTCTTTCTTTCAGGTGACCACCAGATTGTGCAGCTTTATCTTAAATCCAAGGAGACGGGCCTGGCTTTTGCAAATACCAGTTTTGTTTTCTACAACTGTAGTGTGCACAAGTCGTAAGTCCCGTCTACTAATAACGTTCAAGTGCACTTCAGTCACCATTTATATCATTGTTTGATTTACATTTTTATGTCCTAATAAATAAGTCCAAGAATGAAATGGTGGACCTCATCTTTTTCATTCAGCTTTTAGTTTGATGAAAAACACTTAAGGTCCTTAAGATGATGAAACTTTTTATTTAAGTTTACTTTTCTTAATGTTCAGTAATTCTAAGCTGTCGTCGGTCTAATTTGTTCTGTTTCAGATGTCTGTCATGTGTGAGTAGTCCCTACCAGTGCCACTGGTGTAAATACAGACACGACTGCACCCACGACCCTCGCACTTGTTCCTTTCAGGAGGGGAGAGTGAAGAAGCCCGAGGTGAGTCTCAAAGAAGAGGCTTTTTTAATTTTATTATTATTATTTTCTGTTCAGACAATAGACCTCATTGTAGACCATATTGGGGGTAATAATAGGCCACAGAACACGTAGAACCTATAGAAAGCATTTTGTTTCTGACTTATTTTAGAGGTGTTTCTAAGGATTCTCATTTTCTACTTGTATGTTTATACTAGGGGTGTAACGATACGCTAAAATCACATTTTGGTTCGGTTCAGTTTCAAGGAGGGCTCGGTTCGGTTAATTTTCAGTACAAAAAAGGCCAAAATGAAGACTTACAAAATGTTTATTTTTAAACTATGCCAAGTAAACAATACGTTTGTATAAAAATAAATAAAAGCGACCCATTTGGATGATATTTTAAATAAAAGACACACTTTACAATAAATAAACTATACTAACAGTAATACAAATCTTAATAAATACAATAACAGAACCAGAACAATAAGCAGCAACAGACCGTTTACAATCTAACTAATCAAGTTTTAAGTTTTTGGCCAAAAACACCAACTTGTCCACATTTTCTGCCAAAATCATAGATCTAGTTGCAGTGACATTATCTCCAGCAGTGGAGAAAACAGCTCACTAACAACAGTAGCAAGAATAAAGAGGTAGAGCTTTGCTAATTTTGCAGTGTGGCTGTATTTGGTCTCATTACTCACAACCTCTTGGACCTGCTCCCACCTGTCCCTGGAAAAGTTCAGAGTTCACTCATCACAGACTTCTTAACTGGAAGTGATCTCTGGTGGATTTCTCTGAAGAGGAAGAAGACTCAGCTGCTAGCTCTGTCCCAGACTGGAAATAAAACACAAAGAAGTAAAAAATAAAAAATAAAAGAGTTAATAAGATTATAATTTTAAATAAAAAAAGTTAATTAGATATTAATAATAAAATAACAATACCTCTTCTTGAACGGCCATCATTTCTGTTATGAGGTGGTTGAATCTCTCGTGTATCATCATCAGGACAGGACTTTAATCTGGTCCAGGGCTTGTTGACAGTATCAGTTTTAGCTTTTTCATAAAGTGCTGATATAACTATTTGGCTGAAGTGTTGATGTGATGGATGTCGTAGCGGGGCTCAAGAACTTTAAAGCCGGCGCATCAACAACAGAAAAGGTTGTTTAAACGCTGTTGTTATCGGTCTTTGCACCAATCAAGCTGCTATTCTGTAGACGAGACGTTCATGTTCGGATTATGTCGTTTCAAGTGCGTTAACAAGTTAGACGTGTTGCTGCTGCAGAGCCAATCTCAGTGAAACAACGTCGACACACAGCTTTGGATTTGTCCACTTGTCTTTTAACAAGAGCCATAATGTTGCCAAACAGGAGACCACAACGACATGCTAGAATGCTAATGCTGCGTGTGCTGCAAGATAATAGCGCCGTGCTGAAACACGCTTAGGAACTTTAGTTTCGCGGCACATAATCTATTGTTAATTAAATTTAATTAATGAAAGAATAACTGAAACGGTATGCATGTGGACAGAACCGAACACGCCGTACCGAAACGGTTCAATACACCCACGTGTACCGTTACACCCCTAGTTTATATGCTGCCAAACTATAACCTATAACCCGTTTTTGTATTCTGTGTCGTGAATCGTCAAAGCTATAACACGTGTTGAAGTAAACGAGGAAAAGTGTTTGCCTAAGTGAGACTAATGTCTGTCTGTGGAGATTTCACATGCAACAAGACTTGTGTTAAAAGGATTGAAGCACCTTTCAGCAGTAGTGCTTCCATCTGGCGTGAGTCTTTTGGCATGTTTCACTTTTGAGAGCACATCAAAGGGCAGTGGAAGCTAATAAAACTGAGTCATTTCCACATGCCCATTCCTATTCCCCACAACAGCTTACTCTTTGTGAATTATCAATAATATTGGCAGGCAGTCTTTTCCCGACGAAGCTGAGCTCACTGTAATTAGGCTTCTTTGCAGAGGACAAGCTGGACGGGGTACTTTCAGTGAGTGGCCTCCAGCCCGGCCACTCTTCAACATATGAAAAGATTTTACTATGGTTTAGAGTCACTAAAGGAGCCTTTGCAGGAAAGCACAGAGGTCAAGGAAGTTTGAGATTTGTACCTTCGATTTAGACTTGTAGTGATTTAGCAGTGCAGATACAATATTTGCAAGTTCACTATATACATTTGTACTTTTAGAGGATATTTGTGTTTGAGCGGTTATCTGCAATGTTTGCTTGCCCGTACTTTAATTCCCAGTGGCTTTCAGAGGGAGGGTTTTACAGGGAGTTAGTGGCCTGTTAATCCTAGCCTGAGGTGAGCTATGATGAAGATCACTAGTACTCATGTCTGGGTTGGCAGACGCCACTCGATGAGCAGGGACAAGCTTAGCCAGATTGTTTCCTTTGATGAGCAGTCTGCTCTCATTTGTGCTATTCCACCCATTTCTCCCCCAAGCTATTCAACCTGCACAGACAATATTATTTTCTTTTTCTGTCGTTTCCATTATCCTTTTGAACCGTCTGCTCAGTTGGGCCCGAACACGAATCTTTGCAGGTTTGTTTCCAATTAGCCCAGCCGCTGGTGGTCAATATTGACTCGGGTTAATAATGTGTGAATCCTCCTCTATTGTGTCGCACGCTGAAAGGAAACCATAAATAAAGAAACAACGGATTTAAAACGCAGGTGTTGTGCTGGCTTAATGAGTTTTAATTTGCTTTTAATTAACCCTTTAAATCCAGGGTGATGTTGGATGTTGTTTTGAATTAATAGTAGAAAGGCACACATGCAGGCTTAAGAATATGCACACACGCACACCCCATTCAGGCAATCATTCTCAAATTTAGAAGAAGACAAGTCAGGTTTGGTCAGTGAAATGAAATGGCTTTTTCTGCTGATGATGAATTTTGTGTACTATTACAATTAAGGGATTTCAGGCAGTGATCGCAGTAATCCCTTAACTCAATGTTAACTCCCTATTGGTTACCTCCCTACTGGTTGAGCATGTTGTTAGTATGCATCCCATGATGGAGTTGAAGCCAGGACTGCGTGTTTTATTCATGCCAACAAAGATATGGGCAAAGGGATCAGACTACTGCCTGTTGGCACATTAACCAAGGCCATGCCTGTCTTTGCCCCCATACCTCTCAAGGACTTAGTGCCCTGACAAAAACCATGCATGCAGCACTTTCTTGTTGCACTGATAAAAGAACCAGCAGTTACTCGTCACTATTTAAGTCAACTGTTTTAATACAAATTGTTTCTTCTTGTTTATGTGCTGGACAGTATTTGCCTGAATATTTAGCTTTTTCAAACTGCGTCTTCAATCCTAAAAGTACATAGTCTCTATGCGAAAGTGTTGAAACTGAGTGCACTTCCTGTTCTCCTTGTCTGATGGAAACCACAGGAAGATGTTACTTTCTTCTGCTGCTGTCTACAACTCAGCATGTTCATATCCTGAGCTGCTGCCAAATCTTACACTTATATATTCAGCTGGTAGGGAGACGCAAGACACACAAAATATTAATGTCACTCAATACACGTCTCCATCTCTTGATTTATGCTGTACATCTTCATCTCTTTGCATTATTTACTTGTTTGCTGTACTGCGGTGATCAATGTTGTGGAGTTTGTTTACCAGGAACGTATTGATCAAGTGATCAGGATAATTTTATTAAAGAAGCTAAACGCCAACGGTAATGGTTATAAGCTGCCCTTATTAACCAAGAATGGTAGAGAGAAGTGATTTGTTTTGATTAATAGACAATCAATGATATACGCTGGTTACGCCTTGACAAATCATCACACACAACATGGAGAAATCTAAAGAAAAGTGGTAGACGCTAGTTGAGATAAAAAGCAAATTAAAGTTTAAATTAAATCCCTATAAGGTGGAAAAAGAAGAGCTTACATAAAAATACACTAATGGCTAATTTACATTTAAATAAGCCTTAAAATGTTAAATATAATTAATTTAGATTGTCAAAATTTATAAATTAGCATTCAGGGATGCAAGACTATTTTCTGTTCTTACATCCATTGATCTACTCTCTATTTCTGTAAAGACTTTTGATAAACATTAACAATTCCTTTGACCTTATATTAAACTGCTTTAGATTGTCTTGCAAAACTTTAGTCTTGTTTTGGGCTGATCATTTAAAAACTCATCTCTCACATCACTGCACTTTAGCAGACAGTATTTGACAAGTCGTTTTAAAACATTTGAGATACAGTATTGTGGAGTTTTAGAAAAGGGAAAATATCTGCAGTAAAGAGTGGACAAGTGCAAAGTTATTTGTAAAAACAAAACATGTATAAAAGGGTGAGGAATGAGTGGTGGTGGGAAAAGATGGCGAAGCAGCGGCAGGAAGGTGGAGCAGAAAAGTGTTTTTGCTCCTGGCTCAGTTGGATATAACATAACAGAGACTGGGAATCTTTTGGTAACCACATGATGTGTGAGTACATGTATAAAAACTCAAGATCCTCTTCATCTTCGCACCTTACACTACTATAATTATGGGAGTTTTTCTCTCGTTCTTTCCATTGCCCTTCCTCCCTCCCTCCGTAGCTTCAAACTATGCCAAGGGCTTTTACATTCACAGCTCCCATTTTGCTTCCTACTCTGTCACTTTCCCTTTCTCCACCCTTCACACCTCCCACCAGCCTCTAATTATCAGATCTAAGTAGGTCCCCAAGAAAAAAAAAAGAAGTCAGGAAAAAGTAGGAAGAAGAACCCGTGAAGAGGTCTGACTAGAAAAATGAGAAGGGTCAGCGAGCTGCATATGTGTGATGGACCAAACTGCCTATTTTTAAGACTGCATAAATGAGGAGAAAAACAAGGAGCTGGGAACAAGAAGAAAGGATAATTATCCTCAAAAAAAGAGGCGCCAACTTTTGTCAAAGTCATGGATTATGCTATTATGAGTCATGCTATTCACAGGTGCTTTTCTCGTTCTAGCCCTCCTTGATTACAGCCCTGTCACTGACAGTCATAGTGTGCACTTTAAGTATTCTTCCCTTACATCA